CGCTCGTATCAGCAACGGTGACTTTTTCGGACTGTTTCTATGTGAATAGAGAAATATTTATATATATATATATATATATATATATATATATATATATATATATATATATATAAACGAAGAAAGAGTTTAGAGTTAATTTGTTCGAAATTTATAAGATGATTATCAAAATAAAATAATATTCATAATCCGAAATTACATTTTTGTTCTCGGCTCATTCACCATTTTGTATCCGAACGAATTATAAAATTTTACCACTAGGAAATTGGCACGCACATAGTTGTATATATGATAATAAATACATAAATGGGTTCAAAAGATATATGATTATACATATATATATATATATATATATTTAAATATTTTCAACAATAACAGGCTTTTATATATGAAAATCTCCATTTAGATGACGTTTCCTTGCGAATTGCAACTTTATCGAAACCAATGAATCAATTCAAAGATTCATTTGAAATTACAAAGCTGCAATTCGCAACGGAACGTCGACTGAAATAAAGACTTTTCATATAAAAAGCCTGTTATTATTGAAAAAACTATATATTTACATATATATATATATATATATATATATATATATATATATATATATATATATATATATATATATATATATATATATATATATATATATATATATATATATATATATATATATATATATATATATATAGTTTTTTATAATTTTATGAAAAAACTATATTTCATTCAAAATTATTAATTTTTATATATCATTTTGAGTTCGAATAAAAGTTATTGCGAAATTGCAACTGAAAATAAATATTCTTTGAATTTCAAAAACCTCTAATAGCCGATCTCGAAATCATCAACATTGAATTCATCAGCCATATAATTAAATATATATATATATATATATATATATATATATATATATATATATATATATATATATATATATATATATATATATATATATATATATATATATATATATATATATATATATATATATATATATATATACATATATATATATATATATATATATATATATATATATATATATATATATATATATATATATATATATATATATATATATATATATATATATATATTTGTATTATTTATATACCTTGATAGTTTAATATATATTCATATACCTATACTATATGAATAATTATAAAGTGAAAATCAATATTCTTTGAAAATTAATGATTATAAAAGAGTACAGCTGTGTATACGTTTGATATACAGGTAAATATTATATGATATTATACCTATTAGTTCTCACTTATACTTTCTTTTACATATTTATATTCGTCAAAACTTTCTTGAAAAATCAACTATGAATGGATTTTAATATTTTGAGCTTCATTATATGGTAAAAATATTAATCTTCAGTCCGAATATTAACAAACCAAAGAACTATCGAGACTGTAATGATGATGTAACACTACCACAAAAAATTGGCAACATTTTATATACAGTTGTTATGTGATCGCTAAATTTTCAGTAAATATGTTGATAGAAAAAAAAAGTAATTTTAATTTTCAATGAATAATCATCATTTCGAACAGATGTTAACAACTTGTCAGAAAGAATTCAAAAAGTTATAGCAAAATTTTTATAGTATGAAAACTCAATAAAAATTTCATTTATAATTACAAAAATTGTGGAAATAATGGAAAAATCAATTGACATAGTTATTTGAATATTAACTATGAATTAATTAATTATTTAATTCTCTTATGAAGACAATTAATTGAAAAAATGTCGAATGTTCGAATAATTCTAACAAGTTATTTGCTTCAAGATGTTTAAATTTCTCGAAAAAATCATCTCCTAGTTTCGAAAAACTCAAGTGAAATGAAATTGATTATCAAGAATATAAGAAAACTGCAGCAAAATTGGATTCACCACATAGATTCTGCAATTAGCAAATTGGAGAAAAGGAAAATTCTGGAATATTTCTTGTCGAATAATTATAGTCACTAAAACCTTGCAAAAATTTTTTTCAAGCTTTTTCTGCATAAATTGTACTTTGAGAATTATTGTTTAAACTCAACATCAAAATTTCTAATCAAAATTATTCTCATATACAAGAATTCTGAACCTTTGAAAAATGCCGGGAAAATGTTTGCGACCCGTTCACAACTTTTCGAAACTTTTTAACAAATACTTTGAATAATTACGAAAAAATTAATACTATTTTTCCTTTTTTTAATGCTTCAAAGCATTTTACTCAATCTTCAATACAACAAATTGTTAAACAAAACGGTCACTGACCTACAGCAAGAACGTACAAACACACTGTACTCACCCAAAAGCGATGCGCGCGTAACGGAATGTGTAGTACGTTTGATTTTGACTGTGCTAGCGCGACATGTGGACGCAAATGTGTCTGATGTTATTTCGCGCAAACGCATTCGACAGCCTAGATGCCCGGCCCAAGTGACGCTCGATGCAGCCGCCGTTCTTGCCGCTCTATTCCACGTGGATTGACATATCGAAAGACGATATTCCGCGAAAAATGATTAAAACAATCAGTAACATTTTTTCTTAATGTCAGTAAATAATTATCCAGAAGGTTTACCACAACTTATTTAATATATATGATTATTAAATTTTATAATGATTATAATAAATTTTATTTATTATTATCCTTTACAGTAATAAACTGTGAAGTATCCTCAACATTTTTGAATATTCTCAAGATATAAGAAGCTCGCATTGTCCATGGAGTACGGCAAAGAATTCGTAGACCAGATTTAACAAATCATAATATGACTGAGCCCCCAAACCAAATTTTGAGGGGGCTAGGGCTCCCTCGTGCTCTGTAGAGTCAACACCACTGCTATCTCTTCAATCCAGCGAAAGATGAGTGAAGGTTATCTCTAAGTAGATGGTCGAATTTCCAGTTTGAAACAATGTTTAATCCATGACATATCTACTATATATTTTTATCCATTGAAAGATGTTGAAATAGAGTTTTACTTTGTTTATAATCTTACTAAGCGAAATTACTGGACGCTCATCAATATCCTCAAGTTGACTCGATTTATTCTCTTTTATCTTATGTTTCATAGTGTACTTTTAACGAATATTTATATATGAAAGGAATTCTATCTTGCCCCAATGGTTGTTATAAATATTACTATATTACTATTCAAACTTTCATCAGCGAAAATCAGATGTGTACTGATTTTCAGAATTCTTTGGCCAATTGCCTCGATTCCAGTCATATTGTCATAATTTCACAATTGTACAATTTCTTTCTTCTTCTCCGCTTGAGGGATTTTCTTGAAAAGAAAATGAATGCATTCGAATTGAGGTGATTTTTTTCATATTTTTCATGATGAATGTGAAAATACTAAAAACATAAATATATAAACTTCTTGAGGTCTTGTCGGGAGGAAAAAGTTGTTTCCACATATAAATAAATGTTTCGTTTTTGATATATATAAATTCACTAAATGTACGATTCAAAATAATTCGGTATTTAAAAAAAAACGCTGAATTTAACGTTTGAAAATGGGTTGATACCGCTAAACAATTGTCAAAGAATTAATATAATTTTGTGAAACTGAGCCAAGTGAGATTTATTCAATATGTTGAATAATGTATCACCGAGGGATCAGCGAATATTCAACAAACTCAATCGGTGTTATTGTCCTGAAAATATCTTCGTTCATGAAGAAATCTTGATTAATATCACTTTCAAAAATTACAAATACTTCATCTTAAATCTGAAATTACCAACGTTGGTTCCATCCTTGTTCTTATCGAAATTTTTCGATTAACACATTCCATTTCTTTTGATTTGTTGGCCGTTCATTTTACGCTTATGCTTTTCTATGTATTTTCAATGGAAAGTATTTCCTTTTGAAATCTTGAAGAGCCGAAAGCATGAAAAGTTTGTCGTTTCAACATTTTATCAATCTTCGATTGAAGGTAGAGCTATTGTTATCGAAACTCTTTTCTATGCAGTTAGGGGAATTATAACAGACTAAATAGGGGTTGGAGTAATGTGACGCGATACACGACGAAAATGAAAGGAAAAATATTCATAAATGCGAAGATTTCGACCCCCTTGGCACAATATTGTGAAGGGAATTGAATCCAGTAATAATAATAATAATAAGCAAGCGTTCATCTCGAGTTATAAACACCAAAAAACCCCAGTAAACCACTGAGGAAATATGTCACACAAATATATTCCTCAACTTGGTATCTAAATGGAAATTACATTAAAAAAGTTCCTATGTCAGCAAAGACGTCAAATTTGGGTGAGTCACATAGGGTAGTACGTTTTAGGCAATGGTCACTTTCACATATTTGAATTTTCAATGAAATTTTATTCAGATCAACGATACTTTCCTTTTTTTTTCCATATTTCATGACATTTTTATCATTTTTAATGTGTGGTACAAGTGCAAACAGCCGTGGTGCCGTAGAGTGCAGTGTGGGTTATCGGATTCTTCGAGTTGTTTCTTGTTGTGCAAATGTTCCTCTGCTGTAACGAACTCCTTAGGTTCACGTATGACATGTTTTTCTCACAGATTTAATTTGACGTACTTCAACAATTTGCACTTGATTCTTGACCAGCATTATTTTCGGAATCCATCAATGTAATGTATTCAGTTTTTGAAAAGTCCGCTACAGTCCAATATACCATGCGATATATGTGATCGGGCTAATACCTTGCATAATATTGTAACATAAATATTCAATCCTTTCGAAGACTTCTTCAGGTACTAAAAGTTTTGAAGCATAATATTTCATAACTCATTAAACAATCGATTTCGTGTCTATTCATAATGACAACAAGATGCCGTACAATAATCGATCCAAATTGATAGAATATGAATTCAATTCAAAGAGCCCAAAACAGAAAAGCCACATTCATATGAAGTGAGGAGTAGGCACTCAATTCTCTCATGGTTAATAGGCTATTCATTCAATTCAAAATATTTCATTATTTTTACTGAATCTTTCATTTTCAGGCCTCCTCATGGCAGAGTTTTTGGAACTCGATTGGGATTCGAACCCAGGTCTTTCAGGTTTACGCCCTTCTGCTTTTCCAACTAAGCTACCGAGGTCCCCCCCCAGTGTTTAATTGGGATTGCAGTCTAGGACATGAAAATCAGTTACCTCTTTACTATTTTCCAAGCTCTCGAAAATGTTTATTTTCTTCAGGGCTTAATTGTATAAAAATTAACAGTTTATATAGCAAGGCACTATTGAAAATTTCCCTTACAATCACTATGAAGTTAGTCCGAAAGTACATTAGTTTTTTGAATTTTGAAAATAAGCCGTGTTTCGAGTTTATTGGCTCTCCTCAGAACGGCGTAGCCAAGTTCAAGTTGTACGAACCTGGAGGTGAAAAAACAAGAAAGAAACAGACACTCCACTGAAGGAAGTCGACACATTTTAGGCTACCGCGTTTTTACTCTCCGGGTTGGGAGATTTGAAAAAATTACTTCGCCCGTGAGGCGATTATTTATCCTTCAAGGATGCCTCTAGCCGAGAAATTATACGATATATGAATAATGTTCAACGCGGGGGAAAATTTCAATCAAAAGATGAAAAAACAAGGAAGAAACAGACACTCCACTGAAGGAAGTCGACACATTTCAGGACACTGCGTTTTTACTCTCCGGGTTGGGAGATTTGAGAAAATTACTTCGCCCGTGAGGTGACTATTTATCCTTCAAGGATGCCTCTTGCCGAGAAATTATACAATATATGAATAATATTCGACGCGGGGGAAAATTTCAATCAAAAGTAGACACTGTCGGCATATCCCGCAATCAGCAGCAGCCGTTGACGCGTATTTCGAGCTCATTAGCTCTCCTCAGAACGGCGTAGCCAACTTCAAGTTGTACGAACCTGGAGATGAAAAAATATGAAAGAAACAGACACTCCACTGAAGGAAGTCGACACATTTTAGGCTACTTCACTACTATATATATATATATATATATATATATATATATATATATATATATATATATATATATATATATATATATATATATATATATATATATATATATATTAGAAATTCCTCCCTCTCCATTATCCTTCAAGGGAGTAATGTTAGAGAACTATTGAAATCGATACTACGCCCGATGGAAGTGCGGGACATATATGTTTCGTTCTGCAAGGAACTCGTCAGTCGCACCACGTCCATCACTTGGAGTCACAAGAAGATCCTTGGAGGTTGAAATCGTTGCCTCACTTCGATGGACGTGGTGCGACCCACGAGTTCCTTGCAGAACGAAACATATATGTTCCGCACTTCCATCGGGCGTAGCATCGATTTCAATAGTTCTCTAACATTTATCCCTTGAAGGATAATGGAGACATCTAGCTCTACTATAATTTTCTCTTGGTTAATTTGAATTTTTCAAATGAATGTTCTAGTGTTCATTTGTGTTTTGTTCATAAGCACAAAAAAATTTCATTTCGTTATATATATATATATATATATATATATATATATATATATATATATATAATGTGACACAACTCAAAAATCGGTGTTTTTGAGTTACGACTATCAAAGAAATTGGTAAATACCTCTGGGCTTGGAGTCGACAACATGCAATCACAACTTTAGATCGGATTTTCCTACCACCTGTTCTTGGAAAAAAAAAGTTGGTTATAAAATTGGTTTTCCCCCAACCTCAGTAATAGTTCCTCCCGTTTTTCCAAAAAAGTTGGTTTTTGACTTGTGTCACTTTAGAAATAATAACACTGAAGCATCCTCTTCATTTTGCTGAATAGGTCGATCGACTGTGAATGTAGCAATAAAAATGTTATTGTAAGTTGAAAAATAGAATGACTTGTTTGAAGGAATGAGAAAACAAATAATAAAAGATTCACAAAGTTGTCTCCTAGTACCTAATAATCTGTAGAAAAGACGTAGAAAGCTGAAAAAGTATCTTGGCAGAATGTTTAATGTAGAATACGTGATAGGAGCACCCGCTAGCATGCGTTCACGTTGTAAGACTGGGGTTTATTTTATTTAGGGTTTGAGATGCCCCCGTTCAGGTCTGGCGTTTCCTAAACGTCCCAAACGTACGATAATTTAACGAAAATATAATTGGTTGATTGCAGTGGGAAATACGCATTGAAATTCCCTATCACACGATTATATTGATACTATTGCAGAGACAAAATGGACATGTGGATAGTGAGAAGCTTATATTGGTACCAGAAAACAAACCTTAATTGGAGTCTGAAGACTGAAGAGGTTGAAATATTCAGAGGAATATAAACTTAAATTCAAACACTTGAACTTATGATTTACACTTTATTGACTACATAGCATGACGCGTTTCGTCGTTACAAACGACTTCTTCAGATGCTTACAGAATAATAACTAGTCGTTTGTAACGACGAAACGCGTCATGCTATGTAGACAATAAAATGTAAATCATAAGTTCAAGTTTTTCAATTTAAGTTTATATTCAATCATATTGGATTTACATCAAGTAAACGCCAACACTATTAAATATTCAGAGGAGTTCGACAGGGCTCTATACTTTCACCTTTGATTTTCTATATTCATTGTGATCAAGATACTTCGAGAGCTTCTTTATAACCTTCATAACGCAGGTCATTGATAATAACCTTCGTCATTATTAATGACGAAGTCGTGAATAATAATAATAGTAATAATATTTATTGTAGCATTAGCTATTACAAAATCATACAAACATTCAGATTAATAATATATTATTTACAATTATAAGTTTAAAACGAACTTAGCTAATTTACGCTTAAATACCTTAAGGTCACTAATTGTTTTTATGGAGCTAGGCAATTCATTAAATGCGTTGAATCCTTCATAAAATATACTATTCCTATGTTAAGAATGCTTACAAACTTGCATGTAGAAATTGTCAGCATTTCTTGTATTATAATTGTGCACATCACTGACACATGTTACATTTTTTATTACTTTATATGGGAACAATTTGTTTTTAACCTTAAATATAAATATATATGTAGCAAAAAGTATTCTTTGTTTAACTGACATTAATTCTAAACAATTTAGCATGCTTTGGATTGGAGTATATCTATTACATTTAAAAATTGTTCGCATAGCTCTATTCTGTAACTTTTGTAACTGTTGAGTTTTTTCTTTACTCAATCCCAATAACAGAGTGGAACAATATTCAAAGTGTGGCATAATTATGGACTTAAAGAGCAATAACTTCATATATAACATACGATAACGAATAACATACGATACGCAGATGTCAAGGTTTTAATCGCACCCGATGTGAAGAACTTCAGTCTGCAAGTTGAAAACAGCTCATTACTGTACCGAAAAATCCTCCAAACAATGCTACTTTACCATACAATGGCAAGAGCTTGGAAAGAGATAGTAGGTAGGAGACTTTTGGTTGCTGTGTCAATTATTCTAGTCATAATAGTATAAAAATCTGGTCCCCCATAGAACAAGCTCAGAACTCCTGCAAAATTAAGTCACTATTTTGAGAAGAAATAGAAATATAAGCCTTTTATAGGTGCGCTTCTTCGTATTATCCATTCTTCTTGACGTATCATACTCAGATACTCAATGTGATAAAGTAGGAGTTTTTCAGATTTGGGTGTACAGGAGAATATTAAGGATATCCTAAAGATTCAAAATTAGAACCAAAGTACTGCTAAAGAGAGTACGCGAAATACAGAAGTATTCCAAGGCAGGCAAGACAAGGAAGCTGGAGTACCCCGAACTTGTAATGAAGAGTACCTAGTACGAGATGCTGCAGTTGATCATTCAGGGAAATATCCAAGGAAAACGCAGTATTGGTAAAAGAAGAACATCCTAGCTCATAAATTCAAGGGAGTGGTATGACAGGAGTACCTACCTGATAATTTTTTCGAGCTGCTGAGTCGAAGGTGAAAATCACCCTCATGATCGTCAACCTTTGATAGGAGATGGTACAAAGAGAAGAAGACTGCCCACTACAATATTATATCAATATGCAGAACCCTTCAATAATGATAACCTAGTATTCCTCCATCTGATGAAGGTATCGTAGTATCATACACCGGAAAAATATCGTAGTGGGCAATATATATAAGAATCTCTTATTTTCAAATATATGTAAATTCGTTATTAGAACAATATAGTTATTCGAAATGAGTATTAATGTCATAAGGGAATCATTATTGCTCGAGTTATTGATGATATTTCCATGAAAAGTTCTTTCTAATGAATTATAACCTCAAATTTGATAATGATATGAGCCAAAATCGATTTTCAGAAGATAGAATATTATTGTATCAAATATTGTACTAACATTTTGGTAGGAATGTAAGATCTCTATTATCTCTGATACATTGTTCCTTCTGATAGATTCGAACTCTGTAATCACAAAATGACCAAAATTCGGAAAAAATTGAACTGTATTAAATTTAAATATTCACTGAATATCAAAAGAGCATATAGCACAGCTAACACAACAATAAATCAATCATTTAGCAATAATTATGTCATATATTTTTCAAATATCGGAATGTATATTGATAGAACATAGTGAATCATTCAAAAACTCTAAAGAATAAAATCTGTTTCTGAATTAAATTATTCCATTTGAATGTCTCTATACATGTGGATAAGAGGAACAAAATACTAATGAATGACACGAAGGTTTCGCTTATCTCTTGGTGAAACATTATGTTAAAAACTATAAAATTGAAAATTAACACACTTGACTTAAGTTTCACTGAATATATTAAAAACTCTACATATGTTTCGGTTGGTTAACCCATAATATTGTAGTATAGAGCAGTAATATTGTATACTCTCAATAATCGGTTAACCACCCGAAACAAATGTAGAGTTTTTCATATATTCAGTGAAACTTAAGTCAAATGTGTTAATTTTTAATTTTATAGTGAATACTAATGTTTCGAAAGTCACATTCGAAGTGAAAATATACTTCAAAATGGAATTGAATGAACAAATTCTTAGTTCTCCTTCAACATTTTTAATAGTTGATTCAGGATTAAGTTGAGTAGATTAATTAATCGAGTTAAAATCAATTTCATAATTGAAATTCGTAATAATAACTAGTGAC